TGTAATGCCTTTACAATTTAATGCAAACCACTACCTTCAAAGTGTTTTCACATACTTGCCATATTAATGTATTTTAGCATATTGTATGTGGCTAGTTGTCCAATTTCTCTTTGTTAGGCTCACATACATACGTACATATAGGAGATCTCGCACTAAGGATGGAGGTGAGAAAGGAAACTTAGAATAGCTTAACTCTACATGTATTATATGTACAATGCAGTGCTAGGGAGTTGCTGTGTGGTGAGGAGCTTGTTGAGAGGAGGTTGTGGGGTTTCTGATGTTGGTTCACACTCAGGATGGGTTAGAGAAAGGAAACTCACAATGCGCTCTCTGTATACATATTGTATTGGATGTACAGTACAGCTTGGTGCTGGGAAGTGGCAGCGTGGTTACAAGCGTGATGTAGAGAGCTGGTTGGTGAGGTGCGTGCTCAGAGGAGGTGTTGCGTGCTGCGTGGCTGTAGGTAGAAGAAGAGGCAGGTCACGGTGAGGTGAAGTCTTATATAGCGGAGGTAGGCGTGGCTTGATAGTTGACCTCCGCTATGTTAGGCGGCGCTAGTAGCCGACCTTAGACCACGAGGCATAGGCTGGGGAATTCGAAGAGGGGTCGGCTAGTCAGCGACAAATGGCAGTTGTAGTTGTAGGGGAAATATCCTTTACAAGGTCCTGTCCTTTTGCTAGCTTTGAGTAGAAGGCAAATTTGCATAACCGCACCCCACTCTGTTAGAAAGTAAAAAATATATTTTTCTAGTGTATTTGTGTGTGGCGCCAACTCTATACAGAGATAGCGAAGAAAATAAATTAAGCGAGATAGTAGTGACTAGTAACGTTGTTAGTACGCAAGTAGACAAACTAAAGCCTAATAAGTCACCAGGTCCCGATGAGATATTTGCCAGAGTATTAAAGGAATCTAAGGAAGAGTTAGTATGCCCTTAGCAAAGTTGTTTAACATGTCCTTAAAACGGGTGTAGTACCAGAATCCTGGAGGATAGCGAATGTAATACCGATTTTCAAGAAGGAAGATAGATCACTATCCTCTTAACTACCGACCAATCAGTCTAACATCAATTGTAGGCAAATTACTGGAAGCAATCATTTCAAACTATTCGAAATCACCTGGAGAAGCACAAGTTGATCAATGATTCCCAACATGGCTTCACAAGCGGGCGTTCATGTCTAACTAATCTATTAACATTCTTTATATCTGTTTTTGAATCTGTGGACGAAGGGCACAATTATGATGTGGTATATCTCGACTTTAGCAAAGCCTTCGACAGATTCCCCACGAAAGAAAAGTGGAGGCTCATGGCATTAAAGGAGATATTCCAAAATGGATTAGGGCGTGGTTACAGGACAGGAAACAGCGAGTGAGCATTAACGGCACTAAATCCCACAGGATCAACGTCACTAGCGAAGTTCCGCAAGGCTCAGTACTCGGACCATTAGTATTTATTATACTATACATAAACGACATAGATATCGGTTTAGACAGCAACATAAGTAAATTTGCTGATGACACTAAATTAGGGCTTGTAATTAAATCTAACGATGATTCCGCAAAACTGCAGGAAGATCTAAAAAAAATTTTCGAATGGTCTGAAAAATGGCTGATGAGATGTATAGTAAAGTACTCAGTATCGGAGATGTAAACAGGGAAACCAGATACCAGATGAACAACAATGTTATTGAGAAATCCAGCTGTGAGAAAGATTTAGGAGTAATGATAAGTAGGCATCTTAAGCCAAGTAAGCAATGTGTATTTGCTCGAAACAAGGCAAATTGAGTACTTGGGTTCATACAAAGGAGTGTTAGTTACAAGACTAGCGAGGTCATCTTAAAACTATATCTTGCGCTTGTGAGACCCCACTTGGATTACACAGTTCAATTCTGGTCACCGTATTACAGAATGGATAAAGAATCCTTGGAAAGAATTCAGAGGAGAATGACAAGACTAATCCCGGGCATTAGGAACCTTGAGTACAGAGACAGGTTAAAGCTTCTTAATTTGCACTCCCTCGAGAGATGTAGAGTGAGAGGCGATATGATCGAGGTGTATAAATGAAGTCAGGGCTGAACAAAGGGGACTTTACAAAGGTACTCAAACTATCCAGCCAGGAGCGAACTCGTAACAATAGTTTTAAATTAGACAAATTTAGATTTAGGTGGGAAATAGGTAAACATTGGTTTGAAATAGAGTAGTGGATGAGTGATACAAGTTACCAAATATCATCATTAACTCGAATACGCTGGATAGTTTCAAACATAGGTTGGATGGATATATGAGCAATAGGGGTTGGGTGTAAATGGGACTGCCTAGTATGGGCCAATAGGCCCGCTGCAGTTTCCTCCATTCTTATGTTCTTAATATGACCTTCATTTCCGTCGGAAATTGGCCTATTTTTTTATCGATTTTTTTTCATGGGAATTTTTCCGAAAAAAAATAAAGGCTAAGTGATACAAAATACACCAAAAAACACTAGAAAAACATACATCAAACCTAACCTAACTGACTCTCACCATATGATGGAATTACCTATTTCTTACCTTATTGCCGTCTCTTTGTCTTTGGGATAAGGGAAGAGTTAGGACAGCATCACATATGTTGGTTTTTGTGATATTTACATTCAGTCTTGCACTTACGACACTTTACTGAGGTCGGGAGAACACCATGCGATCGAAAAAATGCTAGAGTTTCTTCGTTTTTTTCCCCAAAACTCGCAATCAGCTCCATATAATTTAAGTGACACCCATCGCAGACTTCCATGGTCGGAAATGAATATGAATTTGGAAATATGAGAGACCCAAAATAAAAGTCGATTTTGATTGGGAAATTATCTTATAATTAGATGTCTTATTTGAATATGATAATAGATTAGTGGTAAGAATGTGGGGTGTGAAAATTCAATAATACCGAGTAGAATGACCTTCACCGCAAGGCTGGGGGTATTTATACGATTCTGCCGGACCAGGCTGAGAGATGTGAAGTGAGCGGCCCTGCTGATTGGCTGAAGTGAAGGTGGTAACTGGCCAATCACCGCGCATTCTGAAAGCGAGACCCGGTCTGTGGAACTCGCCGCTGGTTGGCTGGTAACTGGACGTCAAGTGACCAATCAGCAGTTTTAGGGGAGAGTATCCACTACAGTATCACGTGCTTTCAGTGTGCATGTCTTTGTAAAGTCAAAATCATTTTCTCAAACATCCAAAAATGTCTGACAAGAATTTGCCAAAATTCACAGTTCCACTGTCAGACAGATGATTTGTTTATGCTGCCAATACCTTATTGAACTAACACTCAACTCGTGTTATATCAGTAAATTCAGTAGTAAAAAAATTTACATGAAATAAGAACTTGAACGCTTTCTATTGAATTTACACAAAAAATAACTCAAATAAATGGTATTGTTCCAAATAAAAAATTAAACTACATAACCTTGTTACATTATGGTGACACTCAGAAGTGAACAACTGTCCTCAACACTCTTAACACGGCTGATGTTCACTGCCCACTCATCGTCTGTAAATATTAATATATTTACTTTTACTTTATTTTTATCCTCTTCACCACTGATCCGCGCAAAATAAAAATTACACTGGTATGCAATTGCATTTTTCATATCCCTGTTAATTTTAATGCTTCATTCTGTTAATGGATCCACTTCAGAAAATATGTTCATTGTTTGCTCCATATAATATCCACAGACCTCTCACCTTTTTCATATCGTTTTAACACATTTAGTTTCTCGGCTAAGCTTATACACTTTCTTTTAGTTTTTGAGCCAATACTACCATCTCTTGCTCTCTTCTCATGTTGAATAGGGACGCAAAAAATGCCGTAAGAAACCTGAGAAAGTTTTTTCTCTTTTTCCTGTTCAGATGTGTGAAAACAAAGGGCCCGCCAGTTGCGACTGTTCATACTAGTGATGCTGGCGTCACCACTCACAAGCCCGGCAGCCTCAGTGCGCAAGGAGTGTTTTTTTGTGTGTGTGTTTTTTCGTATAATACATATCAGAATTTACCGGTAGTTATTATTTATATGAAAATTTTATTTATTTTTTATTATATTTTCGTCGTAAATACGAAGAAATTAAAGGTGTAAGTTGAATTGGGTCCTAAATTAACCACGGTCTTACACATGAATCGTTGTTAGTAGAACCGTCGTTATCGGAGGCTTTCCTGTACTGTACACTATGGAGTGATTGTTATGTAACCTTGAATCATTATGTTCCTGTTATCTCTGTTCCTTCTTTCTCAAACCCACATATTGCTGTTGTACAGTACATGCTCTTTTGTGTATAGTAGGTACAATAAAATAAAATATCTTATGCATCTAGATATTTATTTTATCCCACCAAACTTATTGGGAAAATTTCCTTATTCCTCTACTGCATTAGTGACTAATTAATTCATCCCATTTCATAACTTGTGCTACGACTTGCTTACTTTATTAACTCTTGTCTTGCTGTACCTCTACCAGTTTAGGATTACTGTATATACTTTGTACACATTCTTTCCTCTGATATCTGTCCCATATTTATTTAAGTATTTTTTCAGTTATATGGGATACCAGGTCAGTGGCACATGTGGTGAGAAAGCTGCAGTTATGGATGAGTGTGCTGTAGTGTTGGTGTGGAGAGTCTGCATGGTCCTTCTGCTGTGGTAGAACACAATATTACTGAATGAAAAGATAGTTTTGTAGATATTGTTTATATAGGTTGTAATACTCTCTGTGGAGGAAAAGAACTAATTTCTTTACTTCATTCATTGATCAAAATAGTAATACAATGTTTTCTAAATAGTAAAATTATCTTGATGGAATCAATGAACTTTATCACTCCATCAGCAGTATTATCTGTGACGGTGAGAAGGAGTCCAGTTATCATATGTTTCTCAGTGATACGTCTCACCTCACGTTCAGGTCATTGGTTTACTTTAGAATTAATAATTTAGAGAATTTAATTCCTAAAAACAAGAGATTTATATACCCACACACCCTCTCCTCAGGTACACAAGGTCTTATATTCGCACGTTCCACGAGACCCTGATGAACTGGAACTTTTAATCGGAGATTTTGTGTATGTTAAAGGAGATATCCTGGTGTCCTCCCCTGATGGATGGGTAGAAGGGACATCTTGGCTCACTGGTTCAACAGGATTTTTACCAATTAATTATATTGAACGTACAGCAGAATCTGATGCTTGGACACTGCATAGGTGAGTAACTAATATTACTAATATTTTATGCAGACATTTTGCTTCAGGATAACAAAGTCTTCATTTCATGGACATACATACATACAGATAAATATTGACATATTAAATTAAAGACATTTCTTTTTTCTTTTTAGAATATTATTTCCTTAGGGGTTACTTGCAAAAATTATGATCCATACCCACACTGCAGGCTGGAACACCCTTTCCAACACTGTCCTTTCTTGTCACCCATAATTGTGTTCATGCACCATTTTTTCTCTTCCCCTTGATAATATTTACAGTATCCAAATACCAATCATTTTATTGGCTTCATTTTTACTGACCATCCTTATCCTGTATTGTTTTCTTTTCTTTTATTGTTTATGGATACTTATTAATCTCCTCCCCAGCTTCTATTGTTCAGTTACATTTTGAATTTTTTTTGTTTTTTCCATGAATAAGTCATTAATATAAAGTGTGACCTGAAATATATTGGTATGATTTAGAAAGTTATTTTAAGAACTGCCTGTCTCTTTATCTAGGACTGAATAAGAGCAGAACTCTCACATGATCAGGACTGAACACCCTTATCATGAATTCTATTTCTGATGGCCAGGGTGTCCCTGTTACCACTAGCTTCAGATTCTTTCTCCTTTTCTTGATCAGTTTGATATCAAGTGTCACAAAAATTAGTCTTCATAAAACTAGTGGATTACTTCTGAGAAAAATGTTTAATCTCTTTCACCCCCAAACAGAGCTATTCCAGTCATAGGCAACACTGGTCGAGAAGGAGTTGAGACCATATCCTTCCCCCGCCGTCCACACATCTCTCTGTCATTATTAAACCTATTAGAAAATAGTGAAGGCTCCAGACGCTCAACTGAAGTTCTCTCTGAATCATCATCTATGGATCGACTACACTCACGTCAAGCTTCCCTGGAGGCCACACAGTCACCTTCTCTTCCCCAACAGGATGTTATAGATGCTTTATATGCTAAGGTGAGTTGTTTAGAATTGAATGTGCACGAAGTTTAAGCTTAGACAGCAGGGAAACTGTCTACACCACACATTATAGGTGATATCTGTGTATAATGTATAAAGTATGTAAAAGTTCATACAGTCGGCCCTTAACATACGCGGGGGTTAGGTAACAGAGATACCCGTGAATGTTAAAAATCCGTGTACTTTTGCTGCCCCCCCCCCCCTAAAAAACCCCTAGCCCCCCATGTCCTTATTTACCGTATATACCTGTGTGTAGTTCGAGTTTTTAAGACCAAATTATTTGGCCAAAAATTGGGGGTCGACCTCAAAACGGGTAATAGTTTCGTTAGGTTGAAAAATATTTACCAGTAACTACCAGTAAACAATGGAAACGACGCACCACCAGCTGTGAGTGTCGGTACAGTTGCCAGGGCAGATCTCTTGCGTCATCATAGCAAGCCCAAAGTAGCCAAATGCATGGTATGGTATGCAGAGGACGATGTAAAACAGAGTATTCATTTTTTATAGTTTATTTATAGATACTGTACATAAATTTTTTTTCATTACATTTGAAATATCAATCTTTGTTAATTAAATCTGAAACAAAAGAAAACTACGATACCGTATTTTCATTAAAATATTACATCACAAGTATATTTTACCTTAACTGTGACTGAATGAATATATTCTCAGAAATAAATATGGAAATGTAATAATTTGGCTGAAATGACGTATATATTACAGTGGAAAGTGGGATAAAATCATGACGAAAAGAATAACTTTCGCATTCTTTCATTGTTCAAAAGATTTTACCGTAATCGCTTTTCGAATGGTTTTCAGTTAAAAAACTGTTGAACTGTACTGTATTACAATAATATTTTATCCTATCATTAGCCTCATAATCCCACAACTGAAAACCATTCAAAAAGCGATTACGGTAACATCTTTTGAATGAAAGAAAGCGAAAGTCATTGCTTTCGTCACAATTTTATCCCACTTTCCACTGTAATACGTACGTTAGGGGGCAGGGAAAAAACACTTTTATTTGAGTTGCAGGCTGCACTTTTCAGGCATCGTTTGTATGGCTGTAACAAACACCTGTGCAAAATTTCATGCCATTTCATGCATACTTACCCTGCCGCATCGTGAACGACTTTTTGTCAACTTTTAGTGTATACCAAAAATTAGGTGTCATTTAATGTTTTCCAGGATAATGATAAATTTTACATGGGTGACATCGATTTAATTCACATGTTATTTTACAGGTACACCGTATAGAAAATCATTGCAAGTTCATATTGAAATTCTTTTTTGTGCGGAACCTTGGCATCATTTTCCTAGACAATAATCTTTGCCTACTATATCCATCTCTCGATTCGTATCCCGTCACTTCAGTGCAAGCTTCAGTCATCACTTTTATGCCTCTCTCGACCGCCTGAGTGCTGTTTGGCCACTTGGGCACCACTAATGGTGTCTCAAGAATGTCATTAACCTGTAGATTTGTAGATTTGACAGAGAAGCAATGTAAGGAGGCTCAGTCTTGAGTTCATTCCTCCAGTTAATCATGGAATGATAGTTTTTTGCTTGCCACTTTAGTTTCGGAGTCACCACCTTTCTCATGTTGACTACAGGAGGCACATCCTCATTCCCATCTCCATCTTTACCCTCCTCATCAGTATAGTTTAACAAATTCTCGTCAACAGCAGCATCAGAATCTTCCTCCTCCTCTTCAGATCTGCCAGTGCATTCTTCCTTTTGCTGATTCTCCTCTCTAATTTTTCTTATCATTGAGACAGCTTTTTCTCTAACTGTCATGTCCTCATCTGCACACATACCAAGAAGAAGTTGATCTGTGTGGGCGAAGTATGCATTTCTCTGGACAGCCTTCTTCACTATCGTCTCCTCCTCACTATTCAGGTGTTTCATATATAGCAGGGACTGGAATACGTTCCTTGAGCCGTGTGTTACGTAAGGGTGTATCTTGATGTAAAACCACATTGGAGCACTGAACTTTATTATTGTAATGACAATTCTTTTCAACTCATGGCTGGGTCTTGATGTTGCTACATACAGCCTGAGGATTCTACTCCATAAGGTGTTCCACCTTGACACACAGGGAGGACCTGGCTCAATAGCAGCCAAGTCATCTTCAACAACACCTGTGATAACTCCTTTACAAATCCTATACAGGTATTTCTGATCCCAGGACAGATCTTTCTCCACTTCATCATTAAACACAGGGAAATCAGGGAAACTGACTGGCTGGAAGGCGACAACTGGAAGCTCAGACAAAGACTCCTTGATCTGCTTTCCAATGGGACCACGCCAATGCTCAGGACCACTTGGTTTACCATCATAGTGATATAAAACTGCGCGGAAAGGCAGCTCATTTCCGTGAAGCTGACATATGAAATAATGGAGCGGGTGACCAAGTAACATTTCAAGATGATGAATGACTCCATTTTCTGATCCTACATTTACATTGGTTCCATCACAACCAACACACACAATGGGCTGCTGGGTTAGATTTTTCTCCACCAGAAACTCGTGAATAGTTTTGGCAATCTGCGCCAACTTACCCAGGTCTCCCCTACATTACAGTACAGTAACACAACATTGAGAAATTAAATGAGAAAAGACTGATAATCAATATAGACATAGCACCATACTCATCTGCAACAAGACAACTTAAATGAAATAAGAGATATGAAAAAAAAGTTGATAAACACTGAACAGAACATTGCACCGCCACAGCGGCTGTTTGGCTAGTACTGTAGGTAAATTTAAAAATTTCAGTAGAAAATGCGGCAGACTAAACCTCGACATATCAGCTTCAAATTTGGCATGGAGTCTTAGATATGTATAAGGAACAATGCCTGAAGAGTGCAGCTTTGAGCAAAATTTCACTGCCCCCTAACGTACGTCATTTCAGCAAAAATATTACATTTCCATATTCTCAGAAATAAATACAGTAGTACCCCGATTTACGCGGTCAATTGAACCCACAGGGTACCGCGGAAAGTGAAAACTGCGTAAAGTGAACAACAGAACATATGGGATTAATTCCAATAGAGACTGGCCCGACCCCCAAACTCCACTTTTTCCGACACAATACCTACACAATACCTATGTTGTAGTAAAAATAACATCTAAATTTTATGATGGTATGCTCACACAATTAATATTTAAGAGAAATACAGTCAGCAGGTTAATGTCCATTCAAATAATGGACTCAAATCCCCCCCCCCCTCTTCCCAGCTCACTAGCTCCTACCTCTCTGAGAAATGTTTGGGTGAAACCACTAGATTTTAACGTTTAGTAATAAATAATACCTCAGACTAAAGTTAGGATAATATAATTCACATTTCTGGATTCCTTGCAGGTCAGGGACTATTTTGAATGTAAACTTCATATATTTTGCACAAAAGATAAAATATTTGCTTTGTGTAAACCAAATTATTACATTAGATCAAAAATTTGTATGTCTAATGCAAAATCCATGATGTTTATATTCAAAATGATCATCATATTGTAAGAATTCCAGCAATGGAAATTATATTCTGGCCGAGTAATTTGTATGAATTTTATGAGGTAAAACAAATATCTTCAGGTAATAAAAAAAAATATTCTTCACAACACTATCTGTCAATGAAAGTACCCCACCTTGCCTCCCCCCCTCCTCACACTCACGCCAGCTGGGTCGGTTGGTCCCAACCCTCCCCCCCACCCCCCACCTTTCTTCCCTACCAGAGAAATATTTGGGTGAAAAAACTAGATTTTAACTTTTAGTAATAAATAATACCTCAGACTAAAGTTAGGAAAATATAATTGACATTTCTGGATTCCTTGCAGGTCAGGGAATATTTTGAATGTAAACTTCATATATTTTGCACAAAAGATAAAATATTGGCTTTGTGTAAACCAAATTATTACATTAGATCTAAAATTTGTATGTCTAATGCAAAATTCATGATGTTTATATTCAAAATGATCATCATATTGTAAGAATTCCAGCAATGTAAATTATATTCTGGCCCGGTAATTTGTATGAATTTTATGAGCTAAAACAAATATCTTCAGTAAATAAATAATGAAATATTCTTCAAGGACACTATCTGTCAATCAAAATACCCCACCTCTGCCCTCCCTCCCTTCCTACCCCCCACCCCCCACCTTCCCTCCCTACCAGAGAAGTGATTGGGAGAAAATAGTATATTTAAATTTTTGGTAATAAATAATACCTCAGGCTAAAGTTAGGATAATATAATTGACATTTCTAGATTCCTTGCAGGTCAGGGAATATTTTGAATGTAAACTTCATATATTTTACACAAACAATAAAATATTTGCTTTGTGTAAACCAAATTATTACATTAGATCTAAAATTTGTATGTCTAATGCAAAATCCATGATGTTTATATTCAAAATGATCATCATATTGTAAAAATTCCAGCAATGTAAATTATATTCTGGCAGGGTAATTTGTATGAATTTTATGAGCTAAATAAAAAAAAAAAAAAATTATACATCACCGCGTATATGAGTAGATGCACCGCGGAAAGTGAAAGCCCGGTTCTGGCAAGGTACCGCGTAAATGAGAAATCGCGGAAAGTGAAACCGTGTAAAGCGGGGTAATACTGTAGTAGTTTTGTTGAAACGTAATGTACAGTATTTAATATTAAAATGCAAAAAGAGCTATAAAAACAATTAATACTGTACACCTGTAATGTACTGGCTGGCATCTCCACTTGTCCCTGCTCCCGCCAGTCACCACTCCTCCCCGCTCTATCCCTCCGCCTCCTCCACATCGTCACTACTGTTGTATTTCAATAATATTCTATCCTAATTCACTTGAATAAATACTACGATACCATATTTCTGAATATTTTCATTAAAATCCATCAAAATCATTTTCCTTGTCATCAGCACCAAACAGCACCTCCCAATCTTCTCCTTGAACAGGGCTAGAGGGTACGTGTTTTTCGAATCGTTTTCAGTTAAAAAAATGTTACATCACATGTATATTTTACCTAAACTGTGCCCGAA